GCTTTACAGAAGACCTCCCCCACGGTTTCTTAACCTTCTCCTTTCTCATCGTTGTTTATTAATGTCAAAGGCATGGTTTTGTAACGCACCGCTGTGTTGTCATCGTCATCTAAGATCTCTTGGTCAATACCTGCGTATCCAACCAAACGATATCTTACGCTTTGGCTTCTAATATGTATAGTTAAAACATGAAAGTGTCAAGAACGGATGGCAGAATTTAACTTGACAATCGGCAAGTTTCACTCCTGTTATTAATAGAATAATCATTATTATTAATTTTTCTTTAACCTAAAGTCAGGCGACGAACGTCACAAAAACTGCACCAGCAACCAACACACTGAGACAGTAGTCCGCATTACTACAGCATATTTCAAGACAATGGCTACCACTAGCGCGACTTGTCGCTTCCCAGGCTGATGACTTTCGGCGTGGTCGGAATTACATAGTTGATCATCGTGATTGGCTTCTATAAGCATAGACATTGACGTTTCGAACATATTTCAATGATGCTCGGTCACTGTGACTTCGAAAGACTGACGTTTAGCCCTACGAGCCGTTGTTTCGTTGCCTCACAGCAATAGATCGATGTTCCTCCGGGGAGGTGGTTGATTCGCGCCCAGGCCCAAACATGCTTTCGATTATTGTCGTCGTAACAGATGGAGGAAAGCCTATGTTTCGTCAAGCACAGATTTGCTCGGTGAACGTACACGTTCGGCAGTGTGTTCGTTTGATAGACAGTTTAGACACTCTCCGGGGCCGGTTTTCATCCCGTTGCTCGTGCTCTAATATGTGATCAATGATACCCAGTACCCCCCCCCCGGAGGTTTGGAGACGAAAAATTTTCAAAGGCGATTTTACGAGGTTCGAATAGTGGCTTTGTTCTGTGGCATATGAAGTTCCAGCATGGGTTTGACAATCCTGTTAAACAGCAAATCATATGTCAAAAACCTCAGACCTCTGTTTTTTCTAACTCTGGGTTCCTTTGTGTTGAAATGAGAAAGCTAAGCCGAATGTAGCAAGAAGGCGCTCCATAATCGCAATTTGAGTTGACTTGAAAATTGTCTGAAATATGCGATTCAGTTCTTCATTTCGTAACAGAACTCTCGAAGAAACTATGATAAATGAACACACCGACAGATCAGATGTCAAAGATCCAATGCATGAAACTTTGCAAAACTTTGAGGAAACGAGTAAAATGAGACGTTAGAGCTTTCAACTGCAGATTGGCAAAAGAGACTATTGAAAACATTCGAAGAGTAAAAAAAACTGATACAACGATTGACAGATTTCAACTTTCAAGTCAGCAGACAGGATTGTCATTAAGGACAGACAAAAGACTCTAAGGAAGGTGGAACATTTTTACGGAAAACTGTACCAAGGTGAAAACCGCTTGAAAATGCAAATGAGGTAGAAAAATTCCGGATATCTTGCCAGAAGAAGACCGTCATGCAATTACACAATCAATGTGCGGAAGGAGTCCTTGCGAAGATAGCTTTACAGTGGAACTCATGGAATCTGGCGGTGAAACAGTGCCCAACCTATTAGCGTGCTTGTTTCCACGCTATCTGAAAGAACTGAAAATTTCAGACGATTCGACCACAGCTCGGTAATTCTACTCCACAAACAGAGAGTCTGGGGAGATTTGAAGAACTACAGGCCGAGAGGCTGTGGCCAATCATTTACAGAATCTTCAAGAAGGTAATGATGAACAGTCAATGAACAAGAAAGATTCAAAAGTGGATTTTGTTTGGCGGACCATGTCTAAGTGGTGCAACAAGTAAGAGTGGCAGTTTCCTCTCTGCTTGGCGTTTGCCGATTTCGACAAGGCTCTTGACTCATTGTGTATCTGTTTTGTACTGGTTTTCTTGAGGAGTCACTAAATCGAGGAAAGATACATGAGGCAGGTCGCTCTGATTTACGAGAATTCAATTGTGAAGATTCACGAGAGCTCACGAACAAGTCCAAATTCGGTAATGGGGCGGTCAGACAGGAAGACGCAATGTCACCAGAGTTATTCACAGCCGCCCATTCAGAAAACCAGGAACTAAACATAAACAAACATTGCTTCAAACACCTGGAATATGCAGTTGATATTCTGATTCTTTCAACGGCACTAGAAGAAAAATGCTGAGAGCTGAGTGACTGAAGCATGAAAGTGACACTGAAGGCAATTTATTAACCCACATTTCCTGTTTAATACATGCAAAACCACCGTTTAAATTTTAGTGAAATATATCACATTTTCCCGCAGCTGTTCCTGTGTCGTTTCGAACAGAATTGCCTAAAAAGTGCAAGATTGCCACGTCGCTGAATAAAACTCACCAAAAACCTCGGAGATTTTATCGAGCTTTTCACATAGCGGATAGGAGTGTTAACAACGATAAAATCACAAAACGAGAAGTTGACTTGCACTTAACAAGATTAAGTTTCATAACTGACATATTCCTGAAGCAGCCAATATTAATTAGTTCACAAAAGAAACTTGTAAAACAGACTCGGGTGATGCTTAATAAATGTGACCTCGCGACTTGTCGAAATTAACCGACTTAATTTGGAAAAAGCAAAAGTCTATGTCCATCTGAAATAGCTCATCTCTGTGAAGAATTGACTGTGAAATCAGCAGTGGAATGAATCTGGTGTGGAGCACTTTTAAAAGACTATGAATGTTTGTATTCTTGAAACTGCATTTGTAACAGAAGCGAAAAGTATTCGATATTCGTGTGTTCCCAGTGTTAACCTATGTGTGCTAAACGTAGATGCTGTGGTTGGAGACCATTCATAAACTGCAAACAACGAAACGCAGCATAGAAATATGCGCGTGGGAAAATATAGAAAAAAATGGGAAGACGAATGAATGGGTTAAAACAGAAACAAGATTCTTCGGTATCACTGTATGAATGAAGAAGTTAAAGTGCCAATGGGCAAGATATTTTGCAGGACAGACCGACCGATGTTGGACCAGAAAGACGTTAAGCTAAAGGTTCCAAAAGAGGGTAAGCTGCTCCTAAGAAAACCTCCAAATCGGTATCACGATGAGTGAATACGTGTGCTAATTCAAGAAGGATGAAAAAGGCGAATAACAGATTGTTTTGGAGAGAGAGAGAGAGAGAGAGAGAGAGAGAGAGAGAAATGTACACGCATTATAGGCTACCGTTAGCCTTTTGGGAAATCATCAGG